TTCATACCCTCCACACACACACACAAACTCATACAAACACAGTCATTCCTAATTGTTCTTGAAAATTTAGGTTAATGACTGCTTGAGTAACCCCCACACTCCTCTTCTTTCTTTTCTGTTCTGGAAACCCCCTCCTCTGTGCTCCCACAGCACATTTATCAGAATCAGCCCAATGAATACGCTATGAGCAACTGAGAAAAATGATCTTGTCTCATTAGTCTTTGCATTCCTATAGTTTGTCTAATCATTGGCAACAAGCCTTATCTTATGTTTTCTACCCTTCACTCCTCATATGGTAGCATATGTTACGCCTTCTGAAATACTGATTTTGTTACAAAAACCACTCTAAATAACAGGAGAAAAATGTATTAACCAAACCTTTCTGTTACATTGAATTTAACTATATGTCCATAGATTTGGTCATAAAAGAAATCATTTCCTGATATTATAATACAATAGAGAAAGTCAGAGCAGTCCTTTGAAAGGTTTGCCACTGGTACTTTTTTTTCACTGCTATTGGGGAGAATAAATGTGGAGGAGCAAGGTAGCGTAATAAATGAGAAAATAATACAAAGGTATAAATGTAGCTTAAAATAAAATTTTATTCTGAACATATGTACATATATATGTAATATTTATATATATGCAAATTTTATATATTAGAGGGGAAAGCTTACATTTGAAACCTCACAGAATGAAAGAAAATTTGAGAGATTTCATCCAAACTTGCCTCCTGTATATACGTATAGTTAGTATATAACTGAAATGTCTGCTGAAAACCTCAGAGCAATTGAAATGAGCCTTAAATTACCTCCCCAAAATCAACTAATCCTTCTCCCCGTTTCCCCCTCCCCAAATCACAAAAATAACATCCCTAACCCCTAGTGTGTCAGATCCAGGTATAATCAAATAGAATATGGACAGAGTAAAAATTTGTAATAAAAAGCTGGGTTTGTGTTCAAGATTGACTGAGTTACTGCTGGAGAAGGTGCCTTGATTAAATCTCACAGAGCCTCATTTTTGGCACATCTTAGACCAGTTATGCAGGCCCAGATTCTGCCCATGCTCTGCAATTCCTCATTCCTCCTAGGAAACTGTTCTGCCTCTTCCACAGCTCCTCCTCCTCCAATCAAGGGTCTGACACTGCCCATTGACCACGTTTATTTTTCTGCCTTTGGCACTAGGAGCTTGTCTGTTGTAGGATAAAAGTGGAATTCTCTGCTGTCTGCAGGGCTTTCCCCAGGGAACAGAGCATGAAACCCAAACTTATATATAAAATCATATCCTGTTTGCAAACATCATATTCCCTTTGCTTCTCACTAATCTGGTCCTGTAAACCCCAGCACAGCTTGAGAGCCCATTCCTCATCTAAACAAATGCCATAAGCCCCTTTATACTTTTACAACCATGTCAAAAAATAATATTGCCTGCCAATAGTGATGTGATTGGAGTTGCCTCCTCCGAGCCATAAAAGAAGTGCAGAGTCTGTTATCAATTTCTCTAAGTGTATCAGGGGAATTATGGGTCGATTCAGTTCCAAGTTATAAATGACAACTCAAAAGCCGCAGAAGCGTTTGAAGCTGGGAGCTGATGACGACATTATCATAAAAGCCTGCTCGTCCTTGCTTTTGTGGGTTTTTTTGTGGCCTATCAAGTGAAGAGTGAAAAATAAGGCTGAGAAATGACTTCAAGATTTCTTCACACAGCAGCAGGTCAGATAGCCAGGAAAACGATCACTATTTTTAGTGATATACCCCGAGGAGTGAGAACTAAAGTGGTCCTGCCCTGGCTTTTGTTTCCACCAGAGTCCCTTGATTATCTATTTCACTCTACAATGACCAATTCCTGGGATTTGGTAAAATGCTCTTTTCAATTGGTGCATTTTCTTGTAGTGTAATCACACAGGGATCAGAAATGAGTCATGCCATAGTAACTAAACAAAATGAGAACCAAACACAAAGGAATTCGGAAACCTTGAGATTGTTGCTCAAAAGGCAATTCTGGAGAGCACACTTTAACGCACTTTAAATACCATTTACCCTTTGAGCTACTTGACCAACATTGTTAAATTATCACCTGCAATTTTAGGGGAAAATATAATAAGTAGGGATTTTCTGATTTTATAATGTCCCTGGTAGTCTCCTCAAAAGCAACTAATTCATCAGCATTCAGTAGGTATATATTAAACCCATCCAGTAGAGAAATATATATTTTAGATAACTAGAGTTTACTTTAACAATTGGGGAGCATTAAGTATTTTGGAATTTAAACCAAGGGTCTATCTTAAATAATTTGAACCAGAAGAGTGCCTTAAGACAAAAGCAATTTCAGTGGTTCCCAAACTCACTAGGGTGCCCCCATGTTACCAAGTTGGGCCATTCCAAATTCATACTGGGTATCTTTTGTATACTTAATATGTCTAGGATTGTCTTGGAGGTAAAAATTTAGACTGGTACAAATCCAGGGGACCCAGAATTTCTCTTAGGACTTATACCAAAACCAAAGATCTTAGGGGCTAAGATGGTTCCTGAATGTCTAAGAACACAATGTTGTTCCTAAAAAAAGCCAAAAGGACTGAATCAAACCAGTTCTCAAGTACCAACAAGGACAAGCTTGCTCACACACACACACACACACTCACCTAGACCTACATAAACACCACCAGAGGACTTACAGGCCAATTTGACAAACAGACGTGTCTCTCTTCAGCCCTTTCCAGCATTGATGGAGTCAAACTAATCCAGTCTTTCTCCTCTTGCCTCTACTTGACCAAGCTAGACTTACCCACCACCACTGCTGCCACCATCCAGATTAGATCAGTGTTTGGGGCTGTTATTAAGGACATATTCTATGACACCCACTGTTCCAGAAGCAGCACTCACTATTCATTCCTTGGGCACTTCTAAGAGTTTATTAGAGCAGTTCTGGCTAAAGAATAAAAGTCACCTTGATCTGGGTTTAGAGCAGTTGAGTAGAGGTACTTTGTGTTCAAGGGATAGTGAGTTATAGGCACTGCCCAAGTCAGACTTGGGAGGTGGGTCCTAGGGAGCTGTCCTCATTTCGACTCTGGATCAGCAATTAAATGTACTTTGTAAATGTAATCTAAATGTAAAAATGTAATGTAAATGCAAAAAGAAAAAACTCTGTAAATGAATAGGGTTTGATGACTACCACTCTTCTAACAGCTTTGATTTCCTCCCCATCACCTACCCACTAAATTGTCCTTAGCTAAGTTGTCCTTAGCTTTGTTTCATTCTTCGCATCATTTACAGGTAATCTTACGGCCATTCTCTTAAAATAGCCACTTATGATGTTAGAAAATAAACTCAAAAGTCAATGAAACCCACTTTAGAAGTCAGTTTATCCTCTGCTTTTTAGAATGATTTTGCAAGCTCCTGGCTTGACAGGAGATTTGCTAAAAATGAGAAGGATTAATGTAGGGTGGTGATTGTCCTGTGCTCGGAGTCAAAAAGCGAAGCTCACTGGGGAGCTGCCACAAAAGGGACCACACTACACCAGCTGCACAGCTGCACTGCTAGGCTTCAGGGGCAGTGGATGGCCTGTTGAAGATGAAAGCTGTGGAAGGTCCTAAAATGCTCTTTTGGAACTCCTCCACATGGACATGCCCATCAACCTCATACTTTCAGCCTTTCACCCTTTGCCATGTGACTTCAGGAAAATAACCTCAGTTCTCTGAGCCTTCAGGTTCTCATCTGAGAAATAGTGTTAATAATAATGACTATTTTACAAAGTTGTTATGAACCTTGGTTGTATGTTAGTAAACTGTAACGTCCAATGCATATTGATACAGTTGCTATTCTTATTTCTAGAGGGCAGAATCACACGTGAAGGAATAGAAAGATTATCCTTGCTAAATCTAACATCCCTAAAATGACAGAATTAACTGAAATTATATGGGATTTCCCTGTATAAAATTTAGTTATAGCAAAATTTTGCCTAAAATCTGACATACACAGGACTAGTTTTGTTCTTTCCCTTCAATATCCGAGAAACCTAATTGACTTAAATTCCTTAGTCCTTGGAAACCTGATCTAGAATGATGTTGTCCTAACACAACTTAGCCTTAGTTCTACAGGATGACAGTTTGTTACTGGTAAGAGTTAACTTTAAATAGATTGCAGGTTATAGGCTACATTCTAATCATCCACCAAAATGTAGACATTTTTCTTCACATGTCGCTGGATTCGAACAAATTTCTCCTTGAAATGTGGTACAAATATCCTGAGTCAAAAAGTCTTTGTTAATTATTGAAGACAAAAATGACCCCAGGGGTTCACAAGCAAAATGTCCCACAATGCAAAACACTGTGAAGTTTATGCCATTTTCAGTAGAAATATAATGTATGTGCACACTCAGTGTGACTCTATTGAAAATTGAGTTCCTGTACAAAATGGTGTTAAGCCCTCTTGTTACTACCTGTTTCCAGCTATATAAAAGTCTAGCTAAGCCGCTTTCATGGATGTGTGACCTGTACAGTTACACAGAATCCTGCAGTTAGAAGGGCCCCACACTTGGTTCAATTTGCTATTGTCGCCATCTTGAAATTCTTAACTTTTTTTTTTTTTGAGGAAGATTAGCCCTCAGCTAACATCTGCTGCCAATCCTCCTCATTTTGCTGAGCAAGACTGGCCCTGAGCTAACATCCGTGCTCATCTTCCTCTACTTTATATGTGGGATGCCTACCACAGCATGGCTTGCCAAGCCATGCCGTGTCTGCACCTGGGATCCAAACCGGCAAACCCCGGGCCACAGAAGCAGAGCGTGTGCACGTAACCACTGCACCACTGGGCCAGCCCCCTTAAAATTCTTAACTTTTGAACAAGAGGATCTGCATTTTCATTTGGCATTGAGCCTTATAAATTATGTAGCCAGTGTAGAGTAACTTTTACTGAGAAGCAGCCTTAAACACAACTGAACAGATAAAGCAGATATTTTTGGAAGTGTATGTTATTAACAGCAGTAAGAAAACTCATACTTACCCCAATTCCACCACAAGGTAATGAAGAAAAAAACTTTTGAGAAGTGCCACCTACAGTAAGAAAATACGAAAAAACACGTAAGTTTGGAATATAACTATAGTTTTTTAAATTTTTGCTGTTTTTTAACACATATTATTATATTAAGTAGCATTTAACATTTGACTCAGGAGCAAACTGATCAAATTTTAGATAGGTAAGAACTTAAAGCAAAAGAATACAAATATTATTAGATGTAGCGTCCATTGCCCCACATGAACAAACACCCATGAAGTTCGAGTTATATCACAATATCTTTTTTATTTATAATTTATTAATTATTTATTATAAATAACTCGGCTAGTCACTGTCACTTTTTAAATTTTTCAAATAGTAAAATAACTATTCAAATATGGACTTACTCAATTTCTACTTCAGATATAGCTAAGACCAAGCATACTATAAGCCTTTCCAATAGCCACAATTTTCTAAACAAGTCACAAAACACTACAAAAAGGATACCCTATTTGGGGGTCTATACAATATAAATAAAAATACACGAGCTGGCCCCATGGCCAAGTGGTTAAGTCCTTGTGCTACACTTCGGTGGCCCAGGGTTTTCCCGGTTCAGATCCTGGTCACCGACCTGGTACCACTCATCAAGTCATGCTGAGGTGGCATCCCACATAGCTCAACTAGAAGGACCTACACCTAGACTATACAACTATATACTGGGGGGCTTTGGAGAAAATAAAATATATATATACATATATATATATCTTCTTTAAAATATACACCAAAATTTTACTTGTGACTGTGTCTCAGAATTGATATTTCACGGAATTTTTAATCATTTTGTTTACTTCCACTTTTATTTTCTACATTATCTACTATATGAATAGAGAAAACAAAAGTAACGACTGCTGAACCAGTCCTGATGGCCTAGTGGTTAAAGCTCGTTCTGTGCACGCCACTTTGGCAGCCTGGGTTTGGTTCCCAGGCGTGGAGCCACACCACTCATCTGTCAGTAGCTATGCTGTGGCAGCAGCTCACATAGAAGAACTAGCAGTATAACTAGAATCTACAACTACGTACAGGGCTCAGGGGAGGAAGAAAACAAAAACAAAAACCACTGCTAAACCCCTAAGACTAAAGTGTGCCCAGCAAAGCAATTAAAGAGAAAGGCAGTAGACATTTCTAAATCATGGTCAAATGGCTCTAAAGTGACTCAGACAGGTCACTTGGGAAATTAGCGGTAGAACTAGGTACAAACCTCTGTTTCACCTATCCCAATTCATTTGTTCTATTGATGATCAATGAAATAAATAATAACGAAAACTGAAAACAGGTTTGTGATGGAATTCACATGCCATGTCAGTAAAAGTTTAAATAGATTTTACTGTCACAGAACAAAGTTTATTTTGAAAACAATAAACTGTATGAGTTGATTTTTCAAATACAATTGCTAACAGATGGAAAATGATAAAGAAAAATGTAAGTGCAAACAAAAAACATCTCTTTATATATAAGGATCTTCATGGAAAAAAGATGAGAAGTCAACAGAAAAAATAAATAAATTATGGAAAAATACTAAAACTGGAATACTGATGTCAGTAAAAGAAACATAAAAAAATGATGGATAGCTTGGGGGAGGAGTAAAGTTTTCTTAAGTCGTTGCTCATAACAAAGATATTTCTGTATCATTGAATATTTTGCAAGGATGTATTCATACGTCACAGGTGAAATTGAAATATATTATGTTGTATATTTTAATGTCTGAAGTCTTCATTCCATAGTTAGTGAAAAGGAGTAAGAATACAATGTAATAAAATAATTTTTAAAGTAATTTTTAAAAATTATTAAACTCTAAGGGAGTAAGAAAAATAAATGATATGCTGCTTAAGGAGAATTTTATTTAATAATGTTTACATAGTACAAAACAGCCAAATAATAATAATTTAAATTTAGTAGTGTGTAACAAATTTTTCATTCACTGACTTGACTGAATTTATTTTTTAATAACATTATATTATTATAATGTTATCCATAGACTGAGATCTGGCTAGCCACAAGATAATGAAAACTGGTAGTAAGAACGACAGGAATATTAATACTAAGAAAACGTTGCACCAGAAATGATTTGAGAGAATGTTTTTAAAGTGTCACCTTACAGGGTCTAAAGTATTTAAAAAGATAAATGGTGCCCATTTTCAAATCTAATTATTTTATAACCTATAGATGTCTTTCAAGATACAAAGACTGATAGGTCCAATCATAATGAACTTTTACTGAAATCCTTCCTCCTAACTCCAGAACATAACTATCGAGTAGTAGTATCAATTTAACTCAGAAAATTCATACAATTGAATGAATTTCAATTCAATGTGTGTGCGCATTGACACCTCCCGGCCTGATCTGTGTTGGGAGGGATTAGGGGAGAAAGAGTGATGTATGAAAGTGAAAGAAAGGGATGGAGAGAAAATATCTTGATGGTTATGAGTTTCTATACATTCACACATGGCCGCTTCCATCTGGTCTCTTAGATATAAATAAAAAACAAGCCACAAGAATTCAAATTTAACAAAGAACAAAAAAAATTATAAAAAGTCAAGTTTTTAAAATAATGGGATTATTCACTTAGAACTTGAATTAAGGAAAATTAGCTAAGTTTCTGGATTCACGGGACAAACTGAAGTAGTTCAGAAGTGTCATCAAAGTTGAATTTAGTGTTTCACATCAAGACCTCACAATGCAACATCTCTGTTTATCTTTACTAGTGCAGCTAGCACACAACGTTGAAATTGTTGCACTGATCCCTGAGAGGTGACTATGGAACTCCACACGTGTATCTAAATCTAATTCTAAAATCATCAGCTATATGAATATTATCCCACATTAAATACTCAAAGCTAATGAGATAAATGGCCAATTTATTTGGCTTAAAACTGTAAAATTAAATTATTGGTCCTTGGTGTTTTCATTGCATACATATGTGAAAAAGACCTTTGCCCAAGTTCTAAGTTATACATTGGAATTCATTTTTAAATCATCAAATTTTCAAATGATATATATGTTGAGTATTTTGAGAAAATAAGTTTTGCTCAAAAGTGTCAAATTTCATTTAAAAAAAAAATGGTATTGCCATGTTTCCTAAGTAAATCATTGGAAACGGCCAAAGTTCAAATTTCATGTTTTTTTACAAATATGTCTTTTCTCTTAAATTGTGGAATAATAGTTGTTTTGTAACATCCTTCAGACACCTACATGTAAGTTTGCCCCCATTAAATCCAAAGTACCTAGTCCTATGCCTCGGTTTACACTACAGTAAAAAGAAGAAGAAAAAGAAAAATGGGGAAGGGTTCCTACTTGTATTCTCTTAACCAAAACAAAAAATAATCAAAGTATACATGGCTCCCTATCTTTAAATGTGTGAGTATTCTGACCTCATAAAACCATGGAAGTTAATGTCTGGTTTACTTGACCTTTGTGGGAAACTTGGTGAGATTATTAACTCATGTTAAAATAAGGACATTTATGGGGCTGGCCCCGTGGCCGAGTGGTTAAGTTCCCGTGCTCCGCTGCAGGCGGCCCAGTGTTTCGTTGGTTCGAATCCTGGGCGCGGACATGGCACTGCTCATCAGACCGCGCTGAGGCAGCGTCCCACATGCCACAACTAGAAGAACCCACAACGAAGAATACACAACTATGTACTGGGGGGCGTTGGGGAGAAAAAGGAAAAAATAAAATCTTTAAAAAAAAAAAAATAAGGACATTTATTATACAGTATCTACAGCGAAGAAAGTATTTTATGTAAAGGCTCTGCATGTGCAGAGATTGATTCCTTCAATAGAAAGAAGGAAAAAAACATAAAGTGTATATTTAGATTGACTTATTTGCCTTTACATTAATATATGTTTACTTCTATTATACAAATTGTATTTATCAAATTTTAATAACATGTTTTCTAAAAATTGAGTAATCTTTACGTGTTCCCATCAATTTCTCCCCAAGCTACCTTTACCCATTCTGCAATGCATGCACGTGCATACACATACTCACCCATATGCCTTTACTTCATAAATTTAGGGATGCCTGCCACTTGTTTTAAAAAGGCAGACCATAAGCATTATAACAGGTAATTGTTAATTTCCCCTTATAATCGCTCTCCAAGATGCCTACTGTAAGTCATATAATTGCTTTTGAATTGTTTAGCCCCAGATAATATACCATTTTGAAATATATTGAATTAAGTGAAGGAGTCCAATAATTTGGAACTGACACAATAGGTTTATTTGAAAGAAAGGGACAAAAAGGGGTCCTAAAATGACTTTTGAGTTAAAATACTTAAAACATGATCCTTTTTGCACACATTTCCATGTCATATATTGTTATTCCATTATAAAAGTTATTGATAAACAATATAATTCATATAATTGTTTCACTGAAAATAAGGTGTTATCATGAACTTTTTCCAAAATCTGTCATTTCTATCACTCATATAAAGTTTATATAAAGCTATGTAACATAAATTTTATTTTAAAATCTGATGGTAAGGTTTGAAAAATCATACATTAACTAAAAATTATGTTATTAGTTTTCTAGTTCTGCCATCTACTTTACTATTTAATTCCATAGTTAAGGTGTGCATTTAATAGATTACATGAAGATTTAAAATGCGATCTTACTATAAAATGTAGTGTTCTAAGCATAGTAATAAGGAGTTTTCACTTAAAACAATTTGTACTATGACCTTTGTCTGTTAAGGTCATAGAAAAAAGAACTGAAAGACACAAAACAAATGGGAAAGGTGAAGATAAATTTGGATAAAGAATGTGAAAATATTTTTTTCTTTTAGTTTAAAAATGTAAGCTAACAAACTTAACAATGCATTTATTCCTGTATGCTAAACACAGTGAACAAACACTGCTCAAATAAAGGTTAATTTTATAGTAAACAATATGGAACTTGCACTGTCATTTTTTCTAATGCAGGCTTTTCTTAATCTACATTGGCTTCTATTGTAAACGACTCATTCCACAAAGCAATGTTGCTGGAAAAGCTGATTTTTTGTCACGCTGCTTGCCAAATATTTTGAACTGACATCAGCATTGACTAATGATAGTGCTGGAATGTGCTGTTCTCAGTAGAAGGGAGGCCCGTACAGACCTAGGAGTGTCCTGGGGTCCAGCTTCTGTCCATCCAGGGGGTTGGTGCCGTACAACAGTGAGTGATGTTCAGAATGAACAAGCTGTATTTCCTCCAAGCTGGCTTTTCGACCTTGAATTCGCTGAAAGAAAACAGCAGAAGCCTACAGTACTCCACTGACAACATTTAGAAGAAAATAAGACCCCAAGTCCCATTTAAGATGATTAATAATGGGCTGAGTTTCACCATGCAGGAATGTGACACTGATTTGCTTAGTAAAGTACCATAATAACATTTGAAAAATGAGTGTATGCGAGGTTCAGATCCAATGGATTGCTTATGCCTAGTAGGCAATTGACATAAAGCATAGTCTTCTTTGGCATAAAAAAGAAATATATAACAAAGAAATTAATAGTTAACTTCTTTGTAAAAGTATCAGCTTAAAAACAAATAGGAGCTACTGTTTAGCTGAGAAGTAAATTCATTAAAATTTTATTTTACACTCACCTGAAGAAGTTGTTCGAACAAATTCCTTATTGTTTCTTAAAGGACATAAGTACCAATATATTTTAATATATTTGATTATCACAAATATGCTGATCACTTCATGTGTGTGCACCTCACAGTAGTGTTAATCGAGACCAATGTTACTCAAAGTGTGTCCTACTGGATTGGTAACACATCAGGAACTGTGTGTGAATGGTCTGTGATGAGGTCTCTAGAGAAATTCAGATTAAACATTTAGAAACTTTTAGAGTAATCTGACAGAGTATTTTCCTATTTGTTGAAACTAATATAATCTCATATGTCTTCAATTTTTATTTCACTTTTGCAGTATTTTATTTTTAATGTATTTTATAAAATCATTAATCTGTGACAGAATGGAAACTATCTCCATTTAACCAGAAATAGTTTGAGCCACTCTAGACTCAGTCAACATTTTTACAAACACGTTAGGCAGAGACTTTCATTTCAACTAACAAAGAATGTTCCTTCAACATAGACAAAATCATACATTAAGTTAAACTTCAGTTAGTCAATATGCTAAGTGTTCTTCCTGGCCACAATTCTCAGTTGGCACATCTGTGAGCCCAATAAACGTCATGCTGGTGTATGAAGCTAACTAGCCTTACTTTTGAAAATTGCTGTGCTTCCTAAAATTACCCAGACAGTATTAGTATTTCACTTAAGATAAGTATCACAACAAGGCACTTGTAAGGTAATATATTAGTAGACAAATACAGTGAAATTCAAAGAGAATCTGTTCAGGGAATGCTGTCCTCTCATATTCCTGACCATGGAATCACCAGTTGACATGGAAACACCAGGTGAGATTAACATCTCTTTCAGGACTAGGACCAGTCCATATTCAACCTGCTTAGTTTAAGGTGATGCAGCTGCTGTTGACACGTGGTTCACTGAAGGGGCAGCCTGGGAAAACCTCAATACATGTATTGATACTTCCTAGGGGTTTACTGGGTAGAGGGCAGAGCTGTTCTTGTCATGAAAATAAATGATCATGTCACAGTGAGAGAGGAATGGTGCGGGATCCAAGAGGTAAAACGAAAGTAACAGGAGTGATGTAAAACAGAAACTTCTTGACACTGTGCCAAATAAACAAACAAATGCTTACGAAATTTTCTTTGTCATAGCATTGCAGTTTCCTGTTTTTGACATCCAATTTACATTTCTAGAAAAATAAAAATATGCTTTAGAGAAATTATCCCTAGGTAGGTGTTGAATGTTGAAATTAAATCAGGTAGATAATGCTGAAGACTAAGGCAAATTTAACGATGGCCATTTGGCCAGCCATTGCTCTGATCAATAAATAAACATGTTATTGGCCAAGATGGCTTGCTGGTAAACATAAATTTGAAAACATGGAAGACCAGAACAACCAAAGAAACAGAATGACTAGTAATGAGATAAAATGAGCAAGGAAAGTTCAAAGTCAATATTACAGGGAAACATTTTAACTGTGAGATTTTACTGGTAGAAAATCCGCCAAGATAAATAGCGATAACTCCATGGTCTGAGTCATCTAAAATTGGAATGAACAGAGCACTGGAAACAAGACTGTGGCAACAAGTCCTAGTCTGGCAGAATAATGAACACCATGAAATAATAGGGCTTCCAGCTCCCATTTCTATGAGTCTATGAAATCCATAGCCACTAACATCTTATATGCTGATAGAGTGAAACATCTATATCCTAAACAATGTCAGTTCTGTAGCTAACAATCAGACTCATGTTTTGACTACTATCATAAAGCTTCATTGATTTTTTTCCCTTTCTCTTTTTTTATAAAGATATTTTTTCAGCTCTAAATTGAATTTTTACCTCTGGTATGGCATTAAACACTCAATAATAAATATGTCTTTTATGTTTTCATAAACTAGTCATACACTCCATGCTTGTCCGAGCTTCTTTTTTATTCTCCCACAATCCCACTAGCTGAATGAATCCCACTAGTTCAGGCTGAATGCTCAATCACATATTTGGAAAATAATCTGCTAACAAGATTCAATTATTGACAGTATTTCAAGTGCTGATAAGTCATAAAAGAACACCTGCTGAATGAATCTCAGTCATTCCGTTGTATATCAGTGAACTAACAATAAGGACAGAGCATCTGGCCCAGTCTATTATTTAGCATTTACTTAATCTAAAAGCATTCCGTACAAATTTACATCTAGTTCTCCTTCTCACTAATAAAATGAAACACAGTTCATGAGTTTCACTTTGATTTCTCTGCCCCCCCTCCACTTCCTTTTGACTCCCAGGAAGTATTTTACACTGGCTCTTTTTATTATTATAGCATATATTTCTTAAAAAACAATTATACTAAGTACAAGGAAGCACTTATTCTTGACAATGATGTTCTGCTTCTATGGCTGTTGAAGAACAAGACCCATAAACAAGGTGTACATGTTTCCACAGAAAGACAGCAGTAAAAACCAATTCTATATGGAAAATGTTTCTACCTGGAGAAAGGATCTGGAGAAAGTGTGTTTTGAAATTTATATCTCACAAGGGCACTGCTATGGGAATTTGGTGGATGACTAAGTTAAAAATTCTGAAATAGCAACAGTTTTTCTTCTTTCTTAACACATAGGATCGCCTGGAATAAGGACATTTTGCCCCACTTTTATCAGATGTCTTAAATTTGTCACATTTAACTTTTCCTTTCAAATTGTGATCTCCAACAGTTCTCATTTTCTCGTAATTTATTAAGTTACATGTTTACGCTAAATACAGATATTTTTGTTTAATCCCTTCCCATATTTTCTATTTCCTGTGTACCCTTTAATCCTTCATTTCTCTCTCACGATGCTCTTTTGAGTCAAAGGTCAACAGCATAATGAGTCACAAAATAGGACAAAGTGCTCTGATAATCGTAATTGAGGGAGATACTGATTTCCGTTCTCAGAGAGATTTAGTCTGCAGGATGTCTATCTAAAGTCATCTGTGATTCTGCCCAAAAGAGTTCTTGAGAATTCTGAGTGTATCTGGACACTCTGGGACTGTAAGGGATGGTGTTCATCTGGGTATTCCTCACTTGAGATCCAAATATAAGTCTTAAATATTTTACCAATATAGGCCTAGGAAAGAAAGCTTATAGCTCCTCTTTCGCCTTCTTAATAAAGAAACTCTATGACGTAGGATGTGTTCATTATATTTTCATTCTCTGTGACTTGCACTTAAGCAGTTTCTTCCCTGAGAGTAGAAAGGAACTAATGTGCACTGAGTGCCTGCTCTGTGATAAGCACCTTGGGAGTATGACTTTATTTAGTTCAGAGCCCCAAAGAGTATACATTCAGGTTTGAAGTTTAACTAAAGTTGTTCAAAATGACCCTATCATTGAGTCTCACAACACACCATGGTTCTTTCCTAAAGAAATAGTCTTTCTGAAATAAAGCCTGTTAATGCAACCTGATTATAGAAGGAATGTTCTGAACATGATCTACAAAGTCATACTGTGACAGGATAAAATGCAGCCTACCCACACCCACCCACACACAGAGCGCACACACGGTATAGATTCATATTTTTTCTGCCAAGAAGCAGGGTAAAAAGGAAACAGTTCTATTCCTTCCCCTCCTGTGTTCAAAGCCTGGATTGAGGCCAGTGTCCTAATCAGTTCTCATTGGCCCTGGAGGAATCAGAACCTTTTGTAAAATATAATAAAGGGCATAAAATCATGATAAAATGCATGAAAAAGCAGTGCCTTTGGTTAGGGAACTAGAAATAATTTAGCAGAACAGATGGATTGCATTGGTTTGGTATTATTGAGGACATGAAAGGGCTCATTTTGTGGCAGTTCCAAACTAAGAGAAAATGTCTAACCTAAATTTGACAAGTCAAAGTACCTGCCTCTGGTGGGGGGGACCCCATTTTCTTTAATCATTTTCAAAGTGGTGACATATTAGGCAAGAATTTCCACTGAAATATCTCATTTTCTGAAAACATCTCATCCAGTGTCCCTAAATATACAGATGAGTTCGTGTTTCTTTCTCTAAAAATCCACAGGGCTACAGACTTACATAGTTAAAGAAAAGAATCATGAATGACTTATGAGTGTCAAAGTCACCCTCAGTTACAAATTCCATACTTAATATTTAATGAATCAGTTTACAGCCTTTTCATTATTCTTGATACAGCTTTTTCTCTTAACAAATACAAAAATCTGGTCTCATTGCTCATGCTCAAGCATACCTACTGAAGTTTTCAAATGCTACTACCAATTGCTCCTTTAAAAGTTACATGTAAGTAATGTTCTATCCTCTGCCCCCAACTGCATTCTCTCCTTCCATATAGCCCTCATCATCTAATAACCTGTTCTCTTCAGAGTTTTTCTTATAAAGAAAGAACAGTGAAAGAAGGAAAGAGGCAATTAAGAAGACAGGCAACTCGAGAGGCTTTTGGTCCTTTCTGTTGGTCACATGGAAAGAAAGTAAATTGCAAGTCAGGAGCCCTAAGTTCTGGGTGCTGACTCTCGTGTGTCCAGCCAGCTATGAAGTACTTTTATGGACCTTTGCTTCTTCATTTATAAACATAAAGATGTTTGACCAAATTGCTTCGAAGCCCACTTTTAGCCCTAAAATGATAAAATTCTGTGTGAAATAAACTTACATACAACAA